TCTTGGCTCCACAATAAACACTCTTGGCACCAGCAGCCAGGAAATTAAAAGACGTATTGTGATGGGAAAGTCTGCTGTTAGAGACCTCTCTAAACTACTCAAGAGCAACGGTGTGTCTCTGGAGACTAAGGTGCGTCTGGTACAGGCCATGGTCTTTGCAATCACTTGTTATGTGTCAGAGAGCTGGAAAATTACCAAGGAGGACAGAAGGTGAATTGATGCTTTTGAGCTTTGGTGTTGGAGAAGAGTGTTGAGGGTGCCATGGACTGATAAGAGAAAAAACAGATTCATCCTGGAAAGGGTTAAACCGGTTTGCTCCTTGGAGGCAAGGATCCTGAGACTTCGTCTGACATACTTTGGTCATGTTGTAAGGAGAGAATGGTCCTTGGAGAAAGACATCATGCTTGGGAGGGTGGAGGGCAGGCTCAGGAGGGGAAGGCCCTCTGGGAGATGGATTGATTCGGTGACTGGGGCAATTGGGATGAGTGTGTCGGAGACAGGGAGATTGGCACAGGACAGAGCAGAGTTTAGAGCTGTTGTACATAGGGTCGCTATGAGTCGCAAGCGACTCGACGGCACATAACAACAACAACAATACTCTAGATTGAGATCGTTGCTTTCCAGCACTCTGGTGAGGTCTGACAGCATATTTTCCCAGTGCAATTCATCATTTGATTTTCTGACTAGTGTTAACTAGTGTTAAGAGTTAACTAGTGTTAAGAGTGTTGATTGTAGAGCCAAGCAAGCTTTAGCTGTTAACCTCAATCTCTTCTCCATCTATCATAGTGCTGCCAAATGGTCCACTGGTGAGATTCTTTGTCTTTGTGATGTTGAGCTTCAATCCATATTGAAGATATAGTCCTTGATCTTTTGCAGCAAGTGCTTCAGGTCTTCTTTAGTTTCAGCAAGCAAGGTTGTGTCATCTGCATATCGTAGATTGTTGATGAGTCCACCTTCAATCCTGATACCACATCTTTCCTCATAAAGCCATACTTTCCAAATGATCTGTTCTTCCTATAGATTGAAAAGGTAAAGAGACAGGAGACATCCCTGACACACTCCCTTTCTGATTTTGAACCTTGCAGTGTTTCTTTGCTCTATTCTTTTTTTTAATTATTATTAAATTTTATTGAATTTTAAGTTTTAATGAACATTTACAAAGATTTTGGGTTCTCATTCATTCATTGTTGCACTGTTTTTTCTACCCTCCTCCCCAGTTCGTTCTGCTCCCCTGTCCCCCGAATGTCTGTTTTAATTGTCCAATTGCCACAGTGCTTGTCAAAGGCAGTTCTGATTAATCTCCTTTGTCAGTGTGTCCTTTGCCATTCCCTATCACTCCTCTCCCTGAGAGAGACTTCACCCTGATTCATAAGGAAAAGGGGATGGCGTATTCTCTTAGCTACTTCCTGCTGAAAAGGGGCGCTGTGGGTTTCAGGGTGAAGATCTTCTCTCACTACTCTAAAGGGCCCCTTTGGCAGTAGGAAACACATAGACTATTATGGAGATTGATTTTGGAATTTAGAGGCACTCTTTATTCTGAGGACTGCTTCCTGGTCCAAGTATAGCTTTCGAACAACCAAGTGTTGTGCATTCCTGTTTTTTTCAAGGTTAGCCAAAGTGATCCTCACAGGAACCCATTAGAAACACAAAGTGCAGCAATGGGCCAAAAACAATATTAAGTGGACCTACCATGTTACATATTGTGCTTAGAGAAATGGCTTGATAATTCATTGGAATGGTCATCGAAAGAATCTGTCATCTAATATATCAGGAGATAATGATTTGAAGGCCTGACTCACATGCCTTCTTGGGTGTGGGGATCACACACAACAAGAGAGGAAGGCAAAAGAGAGATCACCACTGCAGAGACACCTATGGTTCCTCAAGGCTGTCTGGGAAAGAGGGGACAGGAGAGATACTGGTACTACCGTACAGGTCTTCTCTACATAATCTGAAACTAGGTTGTTTTGTGTTTTTCCCCTCGCTAGATGCTGCAGTTCTAGGACAAGGAATGGAATTATAGTTACTATAAGCTGGAGTGCTTCCTAAGGCAAAAAGCTCTAGCAACACCTTTAGGTCTGAATGCAAGAATTTCCAAGTGTAGGATGGGATGATAGATGGATTGTACCTTCACCCTAACTTGCAAAGCTAGGGCTAATGGTGAACACTGCTGTTTGCCTAGTGATCAAGATCGACCATTGTTGTTGTTATGTGCCATTGAGTCATTTGAGACTTGTAGCGACCGTATGTACAAGAGCCCTAAACGCCATTCTATCCTATGCCATCCTCGCCGTCACAAACACATTCATTCCCACCACTCCACTCACAGAATCAATCTATCTCATCGAGGGTCTTCCTCTCCTAGGCCGTCACTCCACTCTCCCAAACATGATGTTCCTCTCCAAGGACCAGTCCCTCCTTGCAACATGCCCAAAGTATGTGAGACGAAGCTTCAGAATCCTTGACTCCGGGGAACATTCTGGCTTTACCCTCTCCAGGACAAACCTGTTGTTCTCCTAGCAGTCCATGGTATAGTCAACACTCTTCTCCAGCACTACAGCTCAAAGGCATTGATTCTTTTTCTATCATCCCTGTTCACTGTCCAACTCTTCGATAGATAATTGGTGTTGTACTTATGTAACCTTACGCAACATGGGAATGATTTAAAGAATACACACTTGTCAGACTGCTTTGGATACCTGCAATCTGATAGGCACAGTAACTGACATTGATGTTCCTTGCCAACTTAGAAAAGTTCAGGCAAAAAGGAATTACAACTGGAGAGAAGAATAAATGATAACTGAAGGCTAAGGGATGAACTTAGACTTCCCCTGGCTACATGATCATTTACGTTCACACCTCGAGAGAGACTCAAGAGCAAGGGATCAATGTCCTCCAGTCAAATTTTACAGAAATTAACAACTCTCCTGCTGTGTAGGAATTGACTCATTACTGATCCTCCAGTGTGATTTCAATGGATGTAAGTCTCATGAGAGGGATGGCTCATCTTTCTCAAGCAGAACATTTGATGATTTCAATTACCAGAGAGGGACCACTCTTGGATTTTAGTTCAATCACTTCCATGTTAGACTACAAGATCAGTTATTTCCTATTGAGGTAGAGTACCTATTTGACATCTTTAACAATGGTAATGAGAGATTAGTTTACTCTCACCAGAGGCACTCAAGAGAAGACCTGCTAGACCTCATTGATAACTTAATCAGTTCTGCTATGATATTCATGAGTTCATTATGATCAGAAATGTTTTTCACAGAAACTGGCTCTTTATCAAGTTATATTGTAAAATTGTGTCCTTTCTCTATCATCCTCCCTTCCTCCCAAGGCTCATCATGCTTTAGAACCACACCCCTTTCTGCCATCCTTGTTAGAGAAAAATTAAGGTATTGGGAAAATAATATTTTCATGAGTTATTCTGTTATGATTTACCACTGAGTCAGAAATAACTCATAGCTCACACTCTGGCAAGTTTCCAGATGGAACAATTCACAGTGGAGGGTTTTGTCCATGTTTCTCCTTGGAAGAGGTGATCAACTCAAACCACATGCCTCTGGTTTGTCAGTGCAATTCCTTGTCAATAGACCGCCATCATTTCCTCGTTCAGGTGGATGGAAGTCATATCCTATTTCCTATCTCCCCAGGGAGTTGGTGTAGTAAACTTTAATCCTACATATGCCATAATATA